GTCCATTTAACATGTTCCCGGATGCCGCCTGCCGAACGCCTCCCCAGAGGAGAGCCGCGGCCTTGGCTCTGCGGGCGCCGGCCCTGGCCGTCACCGTGGCCTTCGGGGCAAGGTGCTCCCCCCGGCCCAGCACCCATCCTCTCCTTTTCCCTTCTGCAGGACGCTCCCCGCTGCCCTCGCCCGGTAACTCTGGCTGTGCCGCCCCCGCCTCGGGTAAGACGGGCACCCCAGGAACATGGCAGACGAAGACCTCATCTTCCGCCTGGAAGGCGTTGATGGCGGCCAGACCCCCCGGGCGGGCCACGGCGGGGACTCCGACACGGACAGCGAGGACGAGGAAGGATACTTCATCTGCCCCATCACGGACGACCCCAGGTCACACCAGCATGTCAATGTCAAGGTTAACGCCTGCTACGGTGACCTGACGAAAAGTGGGCAGTACGGCTCCAGCGGGTCCCCGGCAAGCTCCTTCAACTTCAAGGTGAGTGGGCCGCCTGCTCCGTGTGCCCAGCCCAGGCCGCCGCCTCCAGGGGTGGGGAGTCGGGGTCTCTGGCTGGGGTCTTCCCCGTGTTTGCAAACCCAGGCAGCGCCCCGAACTCCAGACCTGAGGCTGTGCCTGTTCCGGGGGTGAAGGGTGTCGGTTTCGCACAAGTTCGTGACTCCAGGGGAGTGTTTTGGGACGGCTGCTTGGGCCCTGCTCCTGGCCTGCGAGAACCTTGGCTGACGTCTGTAGAAGGGAGAGGGGAGCGGGGACGAGATTGGACTTGGGGGCCGTCGCTGCTGGTGGAGGCAGTTTGAATGCGACGCCCTTATATCTTTATTTGCTTTAATCCTCACAGGCGTAGGTAGAATGCCGCTTACCGTTTTGGGATTCGAAATTAAAATCATTCTTTTCCCACTTCAGAATTTACCTATTTTTAGAAAATTACTAATTCTAGTTCTTAGACAGCTGGATACTTTTGCCTTTCAGGGCCAGAATTCCAGCTTGCGTCTCCCTGGGACAGGCAGCTCCAGAAATAGCCCTGTGGGTCCCCTCCGAGGTTGGGCGGCCCCAGGGGGGTGCAGGGTGTGGCTTGCTTGTTCTCCTGTGGCGGGGCGGCTTCTGGAACACACCCCCACAGCCCAGAGTCCCCTCATCAAGAGGGAGCCACAGGCAAAGACAGACTTGACCCCTCTGTCCCGATTCCGCAGGGACTCTGGTTGGCCCAGCCTGGGTCAGGCGCCCTCCATCTCTGTCCAGTGACTTCCGGCCAGGCTTGGGATGGGGGGCAGGGGTCACAGAAAAGGGGCTGCTTCCAGGTCAGGAGGATCTTGGTGGCTGGGGGCAGGGCAGACCCCTCAGAGGCTTTACCCGCAGCTGCCCTTGGTGGGATCCGTGAGTCCGGCCAGGGCCTTTGGCAAATGTCAGGTGGGCCCAGGTGCTGGACGGATGCGGCCTCTGACCGTGAAACGCAGTGTGACTGACACGTGGGCCGAGGGACCCAGCGGAGGCAGGGTGTCCACGGGCATGAGCTTCACGGTGTGGATGCTGTGGCCATCCACTGCTCACCCCCAGCGCCTGTGGCCAGGCTGCGGGCACAACGGGGCTTCGCCTGGCGTCAGGAGGGCCGGCGGGCAGCGTCAGCGTGAAACGTTAGCCCCGTGGGCCTGACAGTAGTGCAGATGGAAATTCCATCTCCAGGATTCAGCCTCCTCCAGGGTGTTCCCAGCGGGGTGCCACTGGCGTTCTGGGCGGCACAGTCCCCTTGTCCTGTGAGATACTCGGCAGGCCTGGCCTCTGCCCACGAAAGGCCATGTTTCTCCACACTCGTTAGGACAGCCCAAAATGTCCCCCGCCGTGTGCTTGGAAAGCCCGCTGAGGAAAGCCGCTACAGAGGTGTTTGTACCGGTGCTCAGATTTATGTTGTCAAAGACGTGTAAGAGCTCAGTGTCCATCCAGGGGGGCCTACGTGAGTTATAGACTGGGGCCTCCCAGAATGCTGTGTTTACGTTAGAGCAGAGGTGACGTTTCTAGGCCGTTCAACTCGAAAACCATGCCAGGATATGTGCATATTTTGTGTGAGGAAAAAAAAAAAATCCATGAGAAGCCCTTGGGACCGTGCTGGTCCATAAAACAGCATCTGTTTTAATTTTCACATACTGTTTTGTTTTTATATGCTGTTACGTAAAACAGCAAGTTAAAATATAATGCGATCCCATTTTTATCAAAAAATATACATATGTTAGTATTTTCACAGCAAAAACTGACAGAGAAATTTGCATCCAGCAGTTGCCGGTGATTCTCTCTGGGGGACGGTGCTGTTAAGGGGGAATTTGATCACCTACGTTACATCTGTTTTTAAACATTTAGGGCTTTGAAAACTACGTGTGTGTATTACTTGAGTGCAGAAAAATGTTTTTTAGAAGCAGAAAAATGAAGGAAAATAACCAGGTCACCTCGCCTCCGTCAAAACAAACACATCAAGGAGGCCAAGTTCAAAGGCCTCACTGAGGCCGGGAGTCTCCTGGTCTCCAGGGACCTTCTGGGCTGGAATCTCTTCCCAATTCTGGAATAGGTGTCACTTTTCACGCCTCTGCCTGAAACCTCTTCAGTGACGTGTTGGTCTGTGGCGGCCCCCTGGGGCTGGGGTTGAAGACACCAAGCCCCGGCCCTGCCCTCTCATTCCCTAGGGCTGGTAGCCGAACTTTGCTGGCATCTGTCGCTGTCAACAGTCATTCTCCGTTTATGAGTCAGCCCCAGCTTGCGGGTCTGACCGTTTATGGACTCGGTGGAGCTCCTCCTGCCTGCCCACGTCCTAGGTCATCAGAAGCTGGCTCGGTGGGGTCCCTTGGTGCTTGGAGGAACAGCAGCCTCGTTCCTAAACCTCACTCCCTCTGGCACTGGACCAGCCTAACGTGTTTTTATTTACTGTTGACATGGCAACCTGGCATTCCTCCAAGATGGCTCTGCCTGGCAGGTACTGGGCGTGTCCTGGGAACTGTTGAGTTCTGTCACTGTCAAAGCCAGAGCCTTCTTCTGCCCGAACTTCCCGGGGGATGGTGGGCTGCCCGCGTGGTAGAATAGCAGGCAAGGATGTTTCTAGAGTTTATCATAATGTGGGAAAGCGCTTCGGCTCTGGAGTTAAATTTAAATAGCAGGATGTAGAGTAGGATGATAGCTCTGACTCTCTCTCTCACACACACACCCCACACCCCCCGAAAAGCCTGGAAGGAAGTTCCTCGGCGTGCCACCTGGCGGTCTCTGGGTACCATCTGAGCGAGTCCTTGTGTCCTGCTTCTCCCTCGTTTCCATTTTCTAGAATAAGCATATCTATGTTTTACGTTTTTTTAACAGAGTGGGAAATCGCGTGTAAAACAGTCGTTGTCCTGGCCTGGGGTATCTGGGGAGTCATTCCACATCGGCACATACAGGTCGCCTCTTGAGGGTGGATTAAACCGTATCTTGTCACGCGAGGTGCGTGGATCTGTGAGGCCAGCCCCGCTGCCTGAGGGACACATTCGTCGTTTTCTTTTTTTCCCTGTTATGAACCGTAATAAATGCGCTTCTGTGTGTATCGAAGCACACTTTACACTGCACGCATTCCGTACTGTGTCAACGCACGAACAAGGCAAGAACGCTAACCGTACCAATCGCGTACGGGGACCAGCGTCCGCCTCTGACCCGGGGTTCCCAGGAGCGGTCCTTCGGTGACGTTCCTCGCAGGGACGACTGGACATCAGCCGGAACCTTCGTCCCAGGCGAGGGCGGGGGACGCCGCTCCGCAGGCTTCGCGCCTGTCAGCCACGGGACGGCACAGCGGCCCTTGACAACGCGTGCTTCGACAGGTGGCACGCCTCCAGCCCCCGGGACCCCGACCCCGGGTGCTCTTCCTGAGCGCAGGGTGGCGCCCGCCGATGGTGCCGCCGCTGAATATCATGCCGTGGTCCGGAAGCACCGTCCCGTACTCGGCCCGGCCATCGATGGGTGCACAGGCCCTTCTCGGCACCTTCCTTCCAGTGCAGCCGGGTGCAGGGCCGTGGAGGCCCCCGGAGGCCCTGCCCCTGCCCAGCATCCCCGGGAAGCCCTGTGCGCACCGGAGGCCGTGACCGTGACGGTGACTGTGGGTGCTCTGCCCGCCACTCTGCGGATGCGGCGTGGGACGGACGTAGGGGGAGCGCAGGTGCCCTGGGTCCACAAAGGCCTGGAGCCCCAGCAAGGTAGGGGCCCGCCGGGCAGGTGAAGGGGAGCAGGCGACGCTGGCCGTGGGCAGGAGCCGCGTGGCGCCGGGGGTCCTTCCGGAATGTGCGCACGTGCCGAAGTGCCAGCTCCTCGGTGGACATGTGCCGGGGCCCGCACTTTTGTACTCGGTTTTTAGCAGCTTGAGTAAAATACACTTCACACAACATGCCACTTCCCAGTTTAAAACGCGCAGTTCAGTGGCTTCCAGTATATTCACACAGTTACGCATGCACCACAGCCAATTTCGGGCCATCGCCATTACCCTGAACAGAAGCCTGGTCACCTCCCAGTCCCCACGTCCCTCCCAGGCCTGGCAGCCGTGTGTCCCCTTTCGGTCTCTGTGGATTTGCCTTTTCTGGACATTTCACGTAAATCGCGTCGCCTGCCGTGGGGCCTTTGGCGCCGGCTGCCTTCCCGTGCTTTCAAGGCTGGTCTGTGTTGGAGCTGCGTCACCCTTGTGCCTTTTTCCCGCCGAATGTCACTCTGCGGGGTGCGCACACGCGTGCTCTGTCCCTTCATCCACGGACGCCAGTTTGGGCGCTTTCTCTCTTTCGGCCGCTGGGGACAGTGCCGATGGGGACAGATCTTTGCGTGGACACGTTGCTGCTTTGGGGTAGATACTTAGGAGCGGAATCGCTGGGTCTTCTGGTCACCCTCTAGTGTGGCCCCAGTTCTTTTTGTAAAAGAGCGGGCAGCTGGGGCTTGGCAGGCGTGGGGTTGAGTCCTGAGTCTGCCATTTCCAGACAAGTCACCTCCTTGCTCCCTGAGGCCCAGGTCCCTCCTCAGTAGACCAGGTAACTGTCCCACCCGCCTACCCGCCCTAAACGGGGTTGCCAGGATTCCGCCCGGGGAAGGGCTTCCGGGAGACGAGGTGATGCTGCTTGGCTGGTCATTTCTGTCCGTCCCATCTTGTCTTCTGTGGCCCCAGCTCTGAAGCCCACTGGCCAGGGGATATCAGCTGCAGCTCCTGTTTTCCACACAGAGAGATTTCTTGAGGATTTTAGCTTCGTTTCTTTTAGTTACTTGTTCTATTGATTGTAGACGTAATCCGTGTTCTTTGCAGGAAACGATGAAAGTGTAGATATAATTGCTATTAGGGTCTTAGTGTATATTTCAGGTGTTTCTGTGTTTCAGTATAAATACAGCATAAATAAGTAGGAGTCTTTATTGCAGCGCTAGGACCACGTTCCGTTTGTTCTGCGGTTACGTTTTTCCTCGGCAGACAGTTCACGTCTTTCCACGTTAGTAAATGTGGATCTAGG